AAGCCGATATTGGGAGAAAACAAGAGTTATAAGTTAATAAATTTTGGTTGAATTACAAATTAGGTTATTGAACAACGAGAGAGTTATGAATAATAATCTTTAAAATGTTAAAAATGTGAAAAGTGTCTAAAATGTATCTAAGCTTTTAATGTTGTACGTCACAAGTTATTAAATTTTAAAAAAGTATTAAATAGGTTCGTTTGGCCCGTTATGTATCACCGTCTACTAGGGAGAGGTTTCCACACCCTTATAAGGAATGTTTCGTTATCCTCTCCAACTAATGTGGGATCTCACATTACTTTTACTTACCACCTTTTAAAATTAAGGATTTCATTTGATACAAATTTGAAAGCTTATGAACATATTAGACACAATATTAGAAGTTCAACATTAAGGTCCCCACATACCATCTCGCGCCCTTGTCACTAAGGCACCCTCACCCTTTGGCCATACTAGTTTACTTGAGTGAAACCCTCATATATGTGAATACTAGTTGCCATTGCCGATCATGCATTTCACGTCCTTCAATTTTGAACTAATTACACTCCTGAATATGTCAGTATGAAAAGATTATAAGACTGTTTTTCGTTCTCTAAAAACGTGTCGAGAATGTTGTTCATTCTCTATAATGTTCAAAAGACATGACACTATGAGACACTCAATATCAGCATGCTTCCATTTCTGCTTACACCACGGTTTGTTATTTCACTATCAAATTATTGATTAACCCTTTCATGGACTAAAATGCAAGTTAACAAGATTAAAGTAGTCCTCAGTTTCTTCATTCTCAACAACTATCCACGTCGAGCCCAATAAATATTTGTTAAAAGAACACTGAAAGAAGAATATAAATTTCATAGTCCAAGAAAAAGTGGAGAAAAAAGTACCAAATACTTAGCTTGCAGCAGCTGATCTCCCAAAAATATGAATTCAGAAGATTTTTGCACGCAATGGCTCTCTTTATCCGTCCTCCCTTGAGTAATCTTAAAAGCCAGCCTTCTACATATAAACTTAACATACAAATAGTGAGAAAATGAAATCAACAATTGACAGAAGGAAAATCAGCTCTAAATATCACAGAAAGAATTGAAAGAGTGGAATACTTTATCTTGTTCACCCAAGCCATTAGGTGTAAATTTAGCAGAATTCAAAGGGAGAAAGAGCAGAGAAGAATTAAAAAACGAGTTCCATCATTCGTTTCAATGTCGAAGCCGTAATAAATTTCGCAGAAATCAAAGGGAACAGAACGAAGAAGTGCTCTCTCGTCAAATTCACAGAGGGAGTGAAAAAACATGAACAATCACTAGCTTTATCAATAGCCATCAGTTTTAAGGTTCAAACACTCGTAATGTAATTTTCTCTTCAATTAATACAAATTTCTAAACCCTAAAATCGAGGGGAGTGATACAGTATAGCTAGAACATTAAATATATCATAACCCAATTAAGTTCTTTGAGTTCTGCCAAAATTGAACACAGAGGCAATGCCTAAGTACGAATTTCCATTCCCTGTCTCCATTACCTCATCCATATACTCATATTCAGCAGAACAATCATGAAAATGGACAAGAAACTCAGTTTAAAACAAATTAGATCTGAAACTGGGGTAACATACATACCAATGTAGCGTTAATCCGCTGAGCTCAGATGGTTGAGACTCAAATCAGAACGCGAGCATGAAGAATGAGAAAAGGAAAATAAAATACAGAGAAGAACCGGGGAATCGATAACCTGAGAGCCTGAATGGGGAACGGCGATTAACTCCGAGAAGGAAGGCGCCCAAAAATGGTAGCTGTGTTCACCCAATTCAAAACTTATTACCAAAATTAACAGTCTCCGTCTTTAAAAATGATATTTAAATTTGATTTCAGTTAAAGATATTTTTAAAAAATAATTAAAAAACAATAAAACAACCCAATTAACCGGTTGATTTGGGTTATGAACTCTTTTCAAGTTGCTCCAATCACACTTCTAATTTAAAAAAGATATTTAGGTTAGATTATGAACTTTGTTCGGGTTACTCGAATCATCAACCCAACTAACCCAAAATTTTCGTGCATCCACTGTGATATGGTTAAGTTACTTCTCATTTCCAAGAGTAAAAATTATAGCACGACTTTGAAAGATGCATCTTATTGATATTAATAGTAACTTCTAATTTTTCAAGTCTTTCTCAGTCACTCTATCATCATAATCACTTTCATTCGAATATGGTCTCGGTTCATTTATGTACTCTTATTTACTCAAATGTAACATGCCACTAGCTTCCACCTTGGTTCGTCCCTGAACCACATTTTACTAGGAGAGGTATTGCTCTGATATCATTTGTAACTCTCCATACCCCTGACCTTCTTCTCCATACCCATGTTTTGTCTCCATTCACATGCGTTCTAAAAAAAAATTCAGTACAGTTACTCTAAACAAATCACACTTCATTTTAGAGTTATTATAATTTGGCCACAAAAAATGAAGGCCCACCGTGTTAGTATATGTAGTAATTTCAATTTTTTTAAATCCTTTCTTATTCATTATCATTATCACTCTCTTATAAACGAAGCATCGATTCAGTCATGTTCCACTCATTTATATATAATCTTTAACCAAAGATTGGAGTATCTTAACCGACACCTAATAGAAATCTCTATCACTTCATTGCTCCAAAATCTTAAAAATATATATATATATATATATATATATATATATATATATATATTATTTTCTGAAAATTTTAAATGAAAAATAAGTTAAAAAAAAAAAAAAAAAAAAAAATTGGACCCCTAATTTTAACCACAAAAAGACAGGCCTCAACTCAAAACATTCCCTTCAAAATTCCTCAGTCTGACCANATTCAGTTGAGATCTGTCGTTTTCACATCCACCCATTTTCCCTCACTAAAATAATAATAATAATAATAATAATAAAAGAAATAATAAATAATAAAAAAGAAAGTAATTCCCTTAATTTCCCCCAAAATCCCCCAAATTTCAAATCCTCCGATTTCCCTCAGCCCATCCCATCGCATCCCCGCCGCAGCCGCACCTGTTATCTCAATACCTTCCATCTTCAACTACAACAATCTCTTTAACCCTCAAATGACCTCCATCCACCACCACCACCACTCTCCTCCCCACCACCACCTCTCCAAATCCACCTCCACCGTCTCCTCCTCCTCCTCCTCCACCGCCACCACCCAAGCCTGCGCCGCCTGCAAGTACCAACGCCGCAAGTGCGTTCCCGACTGCATCCTAGCCCCCTACTTCCCTCACCATCGCCAACGCCAATTCCTAAACGCTCACAAACTCTTCGGCGTTAGCAACATCACCAAAATCATCAAAAACCTCGATCCCTTCCAAAAGGAAGAGGCAATGCGCACCATTATTTTCCAATCCGACGTCCGATCCCTCGATCCGGTCGGCGGATGTTACCGCATCATTCGTGACCTTCAGCGCCAGATCCAGTACAGCAAAGCCGAGCTTGAAATGGTGCTTCATCAATTGGCGATTTGTAAGCACCAGGCTGCTGCCTCTGTTTCTGCCGCTGCGATTCTGGACGCGGATCATCCTATGAGTGGAGGATTTTCCGGAATCGAGAACCAATTTGTGGAGGAAGGATTTGTAATTGGGGAAAATGAAAATGCGGAGAGTTTAGACGACGAAGCGGCGGAGGTTTGGGGAATTCAGGCTTCCGAAATCTCGCCCTGTTCTTCCTTGAAATCCTCTATTCATGATTTTGATCATATCAATATTCATTATCATCATCAACAATTCGTTAAGTTTCATCCGGATCATCATCAGTTTCTTCATAAGAGGTCAGTTTCTTTTCTTTTTCATTTTCATTCTAAATTATAATTTTTAATGCTACAAATTATATATATATATCGATTGAGTCATCATATTTGGCGCCAACCTACGTTATGGATTTTATTTTATATTTTATTCCAAGCCTGGCCCATGACCATGGTCCATAAATAATCTAATAATCGTCAAACGGGTGTATTTTGCAAAGCTAGAGGTCCAATCCTGGATTTTACAAAACTAGAGTTACTGGTAGTGGGGAGAAATGGTTCCAACCCGGAGCTAGATTGAATTTGAAATTTGAAATCTATGATGATTACTCTTAGATCCCAACTCACTCCACAATTAACTCGATTATGACTAATCCGGATAAATAGTTTTAATCGGTAGTTCGAAATACAAAAAAAAAAATATATTCTATATAAATTTTTTTTGTAATTATTAATTTTCATAAGCAAAAGAATATAGCTTTAAAAATTTAAATTAAATTGTGCAGTGAGGAAGCAGGCATGGTGGAAATAGATAATGTGATATTGAAAGAAGACTCAGAGCCAATGCAAAATGATGGAGAGGTTGAAGGTGCAGTAAATAATTTATTTACTTTCCCAACCACCCTCTGATACTTACCTTCTTCTTCTTCTTCTTCAACCCATGCCCTTTTTACTTTTTATTTTAATTTTTTTTTATTTAGTCCTAAAGTATATATTTGAGAAAAAGGTGAGTGATATAGTTAAAAAGAGAAGAGGTAAAAAATTCAATTATTTTTACCTCTTCTTCACTTTAACCTTCTTCCAATGTTAATTTTTCATAGAAATTAATTAATGAAACCATTTTTTAATGTATTCACCTATTTTGCACAAGCACTTCAATTAATTAAATCAAATGTGAAATTAAAATTATAAATATTATATATGTCATATTAAAATTATTTACGTATTAAATAATTGATTTTTTTTAGCTATAAAAAACGGTTTTGCTCTTCATGGGTTTCTCCTATTGCATAGTCTCTCATCCAGACTGGTTGTCTCTTATTTCTCGCCTTATTCGAGCTAGGAGAGCTAGCTTAAGCTAATGAGCCAAAGGAAATATTTTCCTCTGCAGTATTTTCATCTGCCGCTTCTATCTCATAGAGTCTGTAAGCTTTTGACTCTTCACTAACTCCCAGCAAAACATAACTCCTCTTTTTGTCTCTGAATCAACTCCGAGCTCACGATATTGTTCTTCTTCCTTCCGCTGTAGCTCCCTCTAGAGCTAATCGTCGCTTAGCCTTTTCTACACTTCTCCAATTCTCTTCTAGCATTTTATCTAGCTCTTCTCTCTCTTTCCGTGCTTGTTCTTCTTTTTGTCTTGTAGCAGTAAGAGCGGCTTCTTTCTCTTTCTCAAACTGCACATCAACATCATCAAACAACTTCTTGCGACCTTCCTCTATTCGCATTTGTATTTCTAATTTAGTCTCGGTAGAGTTTAGCCTTTCTTCAACATTCTTCTGAATTAATTCTCCCACCCTCCTAGTTGCATCTTCTTCTAACTTCTTTTCGCCGTCACAAGTGACCTCTTTTATCTCCTCTGCTTTTGCTACCTCCGTCACCACATTCTGGAACTCCAAGTCTTCATATTCTATTTTCAAACATTTGTCAACCAATGACTCCATAGGCATGAACTGAGAACATGCTATTCGCCATCATTTGTGTGTTCATTATTAGGCCCCTTTGTTGATGATAGATTATGCAGGTTCCTTTGATTAGGATCACAAAGCGCTTCTCTTGTAGCTGCCCTATGCTTAGCAAATTGTTGGTGAGATTTTGGACATAGTAGACATTTGTCACAATTAGTGTGATACCTTCAACTTCGAATCTGACACTGCCTCTCCCTTCAACTGCCAATTTTGAGCTATTTCCCAATCTGATAGTGTGTTTGAAACTTTCATCAAGCTCAATGAACCATGTTTTGACCATGTCATATGATTTGAGGACCCGGAATCAAGAAACCAAATGCCTTCTCTTTCAACTTTACTTTTCTTTGTGCACGTCATCAATAGCAGTTCTTCGTCTTTGTCAAATTCAGCTTCTTTTTCTAAGCCCGGACATTCAAATTGGTAATGTCCTTGCTTTTCACATCGAAAACAGTTGATGGCCGACCGGTTCACAAAAGATCTACCTCTTCCCCGTCTCTTCTAGAGTAACCTATTCCTCTCTGAAATGTCCCTCTGCCTCTTCCTTGTCCATACCTTGGTACATTCTCCACCTGCAGAACCTGCTCTTCACTCCTCTTATCAATCACCACCTTTTGTTCATCGACTATTAATTGGTTAATGTCCTTGGATTCTTCAATTGAGCATACTACGAAGTTGAATTTATCTGTGAGACTTTGAAGTATTTTCTCAACAATTTTGACTCCGATATATTCTCTCAGCAATTCCTCATGTCATTAGGAATAGACAAAACTCTTGAAAAATACTCAGGAACACCTTCTCTTGCTTTCATCTCAAAGTTTCAAATGTTTTGCGAAGTCGTTGTATTTGGGCTCGCTTCACTCTAGCATTTCCTTGATAATTCTTTTCTCTGAGATCTTTGAGCCTCCTTCATCGATCTTCTTTTGATAGGCTGCACTTAGTGCTTCGTTTCCTTTTGGTTCCTCGAAACCAGATTAAACGATTTTCTTTTGCTGGGCTGCACTTAGTGCTTCGTTTTCTTTTGGTTCCTCGAAATCAAATTGAATAGCACTCCAAAATTCCTTGGAACGCAATGCTCGTAATCAAATGCGATAGATATGTAGGAACTCCAATGCTCGTAGTCTTCATTGAATTTAGAAACACATGGTGTAGCAAAGCTTCCTTGGTTGTAGTCTCCATCGAATTTAGCAACACATTTAGCAACACATCGACTCTTTCCATTGATTAGAGCAAAACCGTAACACCGTTCATTTTACGAGTTAAGAAACAAACTCAATCTTCTCGACTGTGTTGATCAAAATGTTGTAAGCTTATAAAACGAAAATGGTTCGTGGAAGAAGCGGATATCAAAAACAAATTTAATGTGATAAAATTATATAGCAAAAGAATTATCACCTATTAATTTGGAAATATGAGCCGACCACATGTTGTAATTAATACACGAAGCTGTAACAATAATTGAATTTATATACAAGGTAATAATTGCTTTTAATTTTGAAAAATAATCAATATTTCCATATTTCAACTGTCCAAAAGAACATCAATAATTGTTTTCAAATTGCAAGGACCACAGTTTCATAAATAATTTTTTTCACTATTTAATATTTAACATATGAATCTATTATCAAAATATTTTAAAATATATATAAATACAACATTTTATTACACATTTTGTCTTTTTACCACGAAGCTTAATAGAGATTTTTGAATTATCTAACTAGAACAGTTTCGATGGACAGTTCACTCATTTTTTACAGTTATGATTTCAGAAAATGATCTTGAATTGGGTCGATCACGTTTATTAAAAGTAGACGATAGAATGATTTTACTGGACAAAACTCATCTATACGTCAGTGTAACACGTACTGATATATATCTCATGGTTGTATTGTACTTTCCTCAAATGTAAAATGTGATACTCTATATAGTTGTTTGTAGAACATGAGCTCGAACATTGTTAAGGTCGGTGGAGCGAATCGATAAGGTGAATTGATTGAAATTAATATATATTTTTTAAACTTTGAGGGAGAAAATAGTCCAATTATAAAGATTAAAAAACGTCGGTTGTAGATTATGTGATAAAAGGAGTTAAAATCACCGACATAAATGACATAGAGAACACGTGTCGAGATGTGATTGAGCAGTGTCGTGGGGAAACGAGACAGCAGGTGGCAAATCAACTGCCAAATCTTTGAGGGCCGCCCTGCCCTAAGGTGGGTACGATATTTGTCAACATTCATTGGCTTTTTAGGTGCCGTTCGTTTATGCTCTATAGATTTATCCTTGAGCCATTTTTTATTTTTTAATTCTAAGGATTTTATTTTATTATAAATATTAAAAATAATATAAATATTTTAAAACAAATTATAAATTTTAAGGGCAGTTTTTATAATTTAGTCGTTTATTTTAATTTTTATAAATGTCATTTTAATATTTTATGGGTGTTTTTTAAATACAGTATTAACAATAAAAATATTTTTAATTTTTTAAAAAAGTTAGAGATATTAGTGAAACACTTTTTTTTATTATGGGAGGGTGAGCTATTCCTTAGTTCAGATGGTAGGCTGCAACTTGCTGACTAATTTAGGGAATGACGGTGAGCTTATAAACAAAAAATACTCTCTCTATTGATGTGAGGTTTTTTGGGGAGCTCAAAGTAAAGCCATGAGAGCTTATGCTCAAAATCGACAATATCATATCATTGTGGAGAGTCGTGTTCGTCTAACAAGCCATACGGCGGTGAATCCGTTCCCGGGCCTTGTACACATCGTCCATCACTATTAAAATTTTATATATATTTTTAGATAAAATACAAACTCTACTAGCATTTATATTAATTTAACCACTAATTTCTATTTTGAGTTTAAATATAATTTTGACTTAGAAATTTATGAACTTATAAAACAAAAAATATATATATATATATTTAAGGAAAGAAAGAATGAATGAAGAGCTTCTTCCCCTTTGTATCTCTTCATTTATATCTGTTCTTGTTTACAAAAGGAAGGAAAATAAACAAATTGAAGCTTAAATTCTCAATTTTGATTCGTTTTTTTTGCACTAATCTTAATGGGTTTAGTCTTATGAGGCCCCACAAGAAAGCAACGAACACAAATTTCAACGATTAATTTTCAAAACCCACTTAAATTCGTCGCCTAATTCTTCATTACTCGAGACAAATTCAACAACATTATTTATATGAACTTGCGGAAAATCACTTGGACGTTTGGCTGAATCGAAGTCCACCATTGCAATTTCAATCCATTTTTTAAAGCTTTCCACTACTTTTACCCAAAACCCTTTCTCTCTCTCTCTTGCTCGATTAAGTGTGTCTTCTAGTGGGTTTGGATTAATCGGATTGGGAAGAAGAAGCACTTTAATCACGGATGAGAAAAAGGGGGTGTTGTTTTAGTGTTGTTCTTAATGCTCTGATAATTCTAGAGCACAGTTTTCGTTTCATCTGTGTTTATTTTCCCATTGCTTTTACAGTACAATTTGTGGGTCTTCTTCATTTGTTTTTCGGAACTGCTCGGCTCTCGAGCTGTTACTCGTGGTGCCCATGTCGCTAATTCTTAAATTCTCTGATTCTTTCTGATTTCTCTCATTTTGAGCGGTTGAGTGCGGTGAAAAAAGAAAGAGATCTGATGAAAACTGCTGAAATTTCCTCTGCGATTGCGACTCTGATGGGGTTTCGATCGCTGTTTCTGCTTTTTGGGATTTGTTTTGCTGTTCGTTCTTGCTCTGTCTGTGAATCTGCAGGTAGTCAATGGGCTTCGTTTCCTTTGGTTTTTGTTTGATCTGATCGTTTAAGTTCTAGAAAACATCATTTGGGGATGAATTTGGATCTGGGTTTGATCTGGAATGAGATAGAATCTGTTGAATGATCACTTTTCTAGTATTAACAGTATGATTAGCTTCATGCATTGAGTGTTTGATCTTTAGATTTTTCTTATCATAGTTCTTTCTTACTTGCATCAAAAGTAGAAGTGACCAAACTATGCATAATCTACTCCATTTTGTGTTGCTTGCTCAGATTTTGCTGCTTTTTGTTCCATATTATGATCTTTCTGCTCTCATTTTGCAGTTATCGTTCCGAACGGGCGAAGCGAAGCGCGTTCTTCTCTCACAGGTGAAACTTTGAAACTCAGTTTGAGAATTTCTGTAAAACTAGCAACATCTGATCTCTGTGTTCACTATGAAGTAGTATAGTTTTATGATATACAGCGAAATCGAGCACCGAAAAAAGTATTGGAAGACATAAATCTCAAGCTAACTGAGTGTAGATTATAGTTTCTATGTTCTTCCTTTCAACTTTCTGAGCTATCAAATCTTGACAATGATCATATAAACAGTAACGTTTATTGTTCTTATGATGCAGCAACTCGATTAGACGATTCGAGTAGAGCTCCTAGCATTGCACTTCCACCTACCGTGCCTGCTAAGAAATGGGGGCATGGTCATGAATTTCGCCATTCAAGAAGGAAGTTCAGAAACAATGCTCCACGGCGTGGTTATCGTGCATCGACTCCGGAGAGTGGCCAGCAAGGTGGAGTCGAACGATATATTAATTTGTTTCTTGAATCTCATCCATTTAGATCTATGGAAGTATTCACTAGTGAAGTTTCAGGCCGTGCTGCTGTCTCTCCAATTCAATCACCATTACCATCTGCAACGAGAGGAAGGTCGCCAAGACCTGCGCCATCGCCAACGATTCCACCGAACCACTATTATAGTATGACAAAGAGAACCTAAACATTTTCTTGAACTATGATTTTCTCAAGGATGATGTTAACTTTATGATATGTTCATGCCTTGTTTATAACAGTGACCATTCCTGCTCCTACAATTTCTCCTATGGGTTCTTATAAGAAGAGGAAGAAGAGCATGCCACCATCACAAGTTATGATGCTACCACCCCCACCTCCTAATGGGGGTAGGCATACACTTTTCGCTCGGTATTTCGTATTGAGTTATCGGAAATGTTTCCACGTTATGATAACCATATACTTTGTGTTCCATACTTGTAGATTGTGCGATATCATGTACCGAACCACTGACCTATACACCTCCCGGGACGTTGTGTGGGTGCGTGTGGCCAATTCAAGTCAAAATCAGTCTTGATGTTGCAATATATACGTTTTTCCCTCTGGTTTCGGAGCTGGCAGAGGAAATTGCAGACAGTATTGGTCTGAACCATAGCCAAGTTCGAATTATGGGAGCTGATGCTGCTAGTCAGCAGTTAGAAAAAACGACCGTCCTCATCAACTTGGTTCCGAGAGGACCGAAATTCAATGATACCATGGCATTTTCGATATATCACAAGTTTTGGCACAGAAAAATATCCATTAACGCTTCGTTATTTGGTCGATATCAAGTCCTGAATGTCAAATATCCAGGTTATCTCTTGATCCTTCATCTTTTGGTTTTGCATATTAAAAGATTACACCAGTGGATGTGGATAAATGAATTTACTGCCTTATTCATGTGATTTGTGGGATTCCACATCGGTTGGAGAGGGAAATGTAAGGGTGTGAAAACCTCTCTCCAGTAGACGCATTTTAAAACCGTGAAGTTGACTGTGATATGTAACGGGCCTAAACGGATAATATCTGCTAGTGGTGTGCTTAGAATGTTAAAATGATACCAGAGCCAGACACTGGACAATGTGTTAGTGAGAACGCTGGGCCCTTAAGGGGGTAGATTGTGAGATCCCACATTGGTTGGAGAGGGGAACGCAAGGGTGTGGAAACCTCTTCCCAGCAGACATGTTTTAAAACCGTGAAGCTGACGGCGATACGTAACGGGCTAAAATGGACAATATCTATTAGCGGTGGGCCTAGGCTGTTGCATTTTTTGTCCTGCCGTTCTCATTGATTGATACTTCAAATGAAGCGTACACGGTCTTGTTGGATTAGTTGTTCTAAGACTTAAGTAAAAAATTATGCATCATGAAATTCTTCAACAATCTCAGGGGCATATTTTTATGTCCTTGAAGCATCTGAGAAGCTTCAAGGGAGCTTCCTAAAATTCAACAATGTTTCTTTTCTGATAAGCTCTAGCTTATGCAGGTCTTCCGCCGTCTCCTCCGTTACCTCCTTCAGGTACTTCCTCCATTAACGATGGCTTGAACACGAGCAATACTAATATTGGAAATGCTATAAAACCTTTGGGAGTCGACGTGCCAAGAAGAAGGAAAGAAGGGCTTAGCGGAAACATGATCGCCGTGATTACTATATCGTCGTTCACTGCCTTTGTTATGTGTGTTGGACTTGCTTGGCTTTGCCTGTTGAGATGCAGAGTGTTTGCACATCAGGCAGCACAAGTTCCGCAAAACTTGATAGCCTCACCTACAAAACCATCAGGTAAAAGCTATTCAACCAAATTCTTCTTAATAATGTTCCCTTATTAGGGTCTGTACTTGTTTAGTCCTGAACTGAGTCATTTCTACAGGCACTGCTGGATTAATGATGGCTGGAAGTGAACCTGGTTCTTCATCCCTGCCTCTCGATGCCGATCCTATGACGTATATAGGAGCTGCAAAGAACTTCACCTTGAAAGATATGAAGAAAGCTACCTACAACTTCGATGTTGCAAGAATATTAGGAGAAGGTGGCTTTGGAATTGTTTACAGTGGCAGTTTGGATGATGGAAGGGAAGTGGCTGTGAAGGTTCTCAAACGACATAATCAACACGGTATTCGGGAATTCTTGGCCGAAGTCGAGATGCTGAGCCGTCTACACCATAGAAATCTAGTTAAATTGATTGGTATCTGTACAGAAGATCAGATTCGCTGCCTTGTTTATGAATTGGTTCCGAACGGAAGCGTCGAATCGCATTTACATGGTAAGCAACTTTTTGCAAGTTCGGAAATGGGATCGTCGAATCGCATTTGTTCTTGGTTGAAATAGGTGGTTTGACATTCATATCCAAATTGTTCTGTGTGATTTCAGGCATTGACAAGTTAACTGGTCCTCTTGACTGGGATGCTCGGATGAAGATTGCCCTTGGTGCTGCTCGTGGCCTAGCCTATTTGCACGAAGACTCTAATCCTCGAGTTATTCATCGAGATTTCAAAGCTAGCAACATCCTGTTGGAATATGACTTCACACCGAAAGTTTCAGATTTTGGATTAGCTAGAACTGCACTAGAGGAAGGAAACAAGCACATCTCAACCCATGTCATGGGAACTTTTGGGTAAAAATACTACTTTCTGTCATGTAATTTCTTCAAGTTCATTTACTTTTCACCTAACATGTTACCTTCTGATTTCCAGTTATCTAGCTCCAGAGTATGCAATGACGGGGCACCTTCTTGTAAAGAGCGATGTCTACAGCTATGGTGTTGTCCTTCTCGAGCTACTTACGGGAAGAAAACCAGTTGACTTGTTGCTTCCACCGGGGCAAGAAAATCTTGTTGCTTGGGCTCGACCGCTTCTCACGAGCAAGGAGGGGTTAGATGTAATTACAGACCCAGCTATTAAGTCTGATATCTCTATTGATAGCTTGGCCAGAGTAGCTGCAATTGCTTCTATGTGTGTGCAACCCGAAGTGTCTCACAGACCATTTATGGGCGAGGTTGTTCAAGCTCTAAAGCTTGTTTGCAATGAGTTCGAAGAGACAAATGAGGCAGGTTCACAAAGTTACAGCCGAGACGAACTTCTAAGTTACATGGATAGTAAATTTGGAGGAATTTCAGGGGAAATACTAAACGCTACCGACACCTTGCACCCGTTTCCTTCAAAAAAAGAGACAAATGTAGGACTATCGGCATCGGATTTGATCAGCGCATCTGCAAGATTTGAAGGACAGGAATTAGTTTCCTTGAGATGGCATACATCAAACTCAGAACCCTTGAAAATGGGAAGGAAAGGGCAGTTCTGGCAGAAACTAAGAAGTTTATCACGAGGCAGCATCAGTGAACATGGCTTTTCTTCTAAATTTTGGCCTGGATTTCGTTAGTTTATGTTTATTCATCTCTTGCAACGCAACATCTTGAAGTTCAAATCAATTGCATTTCTGAGGCCTTTAATATTGTGGCCATCTTTCTAGGTCAGTTCTTGGAGTATTCATTTCAACATCACTGACACAAGTAATGAGAAAGTCAAGGCCTGAGAAGAGGTAAATCAACACTAATCTAATGAAATTTAAAGACATCAGTGAAGCAATAATTGAATGCATAAAACAAGTTAGATATTCCACTTAAAGTTATCAAAATCACAAAGCTATCCATACACAACTGCAGATGCACAATCACTAGAATCTAGCTCAAACATAAAGAAAAAGTCTAGTCTTCCAGTGCATCCAAAGAATGAAAACTCATAAACTATCAAAATTATACAAAACAAATCGTAGCCAAGTAGCTGAAAGAGAGTATATATAAAGAATACTTATCATCTTGAAAAATTTGTAATTCCATACCAAGCCAGAGGTGCGCATGCCCACCGTTCTTTAATAATCAACTCACCCAGATCATACCTTCACTAACAAGTAACACAGCTTGTAATTTTTTGTAGTCTTTATGCTTCCGACATTCCAGATTTCTTTCCCAATCTATCCATCAAGATTTTCAGGCCCATGTACCTGCAAACACAAAACAGGGTATCCATTTGTAATTAGTTGCTGCTTATCAACTTTCTTCTTTGAAAGAGAGTTTGCCAACAAACAGATGTTCATTATTATACCTTCCCATCATCATAACAGTAGCTTGAGGATTGGTGCCGGGGGACTTGCTGAGTGTCGAACCATCGACAATGCGCAGTCTAGTTACTCCGAGGACTTTAAGGTCATGGCTCACCACCTTGTCCACTAGACACCCTCCATGGTAGTGCCATATTGTGATCACACTGTCTTTGCAGAATTGCTCCAGGGACTTGGTGTCATTGCTATGCTTCGGTATGAGATTGATGTTGGCCTTTACACTAATATTAAGTAGTCTTTCTAATGTTTCCTCGTCACATTGTGTGAAGTTTGTGAAGTATTTAGAATCCACGATCTTCGTAAGCATGCGAACTCCTTCGACACATCGGTGAAGATCATATGGATGATGAAAGTAGTTGAAGGTCACAGAAGGATTGTCGTCGACATTAGTGTTGATCAAGCTTAATTGTCCTTTCGAGATTGGATTTGCTATTTTTCCTAGGACGAAACCTCCTTTAAATGCCTCGTGGGGTAAGTCTCGTTTAGTATTAATGTAAGCTTGAATAGCTTCAGGCGTTCTCTGTTTTGGAGGAATGGTGGATAGCTGCCCAATCTGGTTAAACCCACAAAATAAGTATCATGCATCTACTAACATACTTCAAATCTACTTTACTCATGTGCAAAGGTAACTCAGTTTAACTCGAATAAACTCAAATGAGAATTTTTATATGAATGACCTAAGAAATGGATCAAGTTTTTCAAGAACAAAATGAACGTTTGTATATTTATTATGAAGGGAAAACAGAGATGTTAAATTTACCTCAGCCGACATCAAACCATGGTGACAGTGAATACTTTCATCCGACTGTCCAAAACCACTGCTAGATTCAATATAAACACCAAGCTTGGTGATTCCCACTGCTTGTATAAGTGACTGCTGAACTGGTCTATTGCTTGGAACAAAAATGGCGTTCATAGGGTTATCAGCCATGTCTTTTCCAACAAATTCATTGTCAAGAACCACGGAGATGTTCCACTTTTCAAGATCAGGCCTCGGACCAATTCCACTGAGCAGCAGCATTTGTGGAGTCCCAATTGCTCCACTGGACAATATTACTTCACTCTCACTGTTGCTCGATAGAAGAACTTTGTGTTCATTACCAGTTTCATCCCTGAAAACAACTCCAATTGCCTTCGGTTTCTTACCTGTAGTGGCCAATTCAAACCATATATGAAAGTGCTGATGACTTAAATAAGATCCTCAACATCAATTCTCATGTTTTTAAGATCACATTGAATGTTTAAACTAAACAAAGATCTTACTAAAAGTATAATAAATGCCAGTAATTGTCTGCATTTCATCCTAATTTCTCAACCAATTAAGCAAAACTAGAACAGATATCCTCAGAACTCCATGACTTGGATAACGAATGGGCGAAAACAAAATCACGAAACCGATGAATGCGAGAGAAAGAAGCAAACGAACCGTCAGTGGTGTAAAAAATGAGTCGTTGAACAGTGGCATGAACCAGAACCGTAAGTTTATCGGGATTTCCCGAAGCTAAGAGCTCAGCGGTGGTGTGACGGCGGCCGGAACCGTCGAAAATGGTTCCGCCGACTTTAGTGCCGTAGAGATGATCGTAGGTGAAGCCATTGAACGGCGAAATACCGACGTCCAGTAGACTTTGGGTGAAAGCGTTCTGCCAATCGGCGAGGTTGGGGCGGTGAACGATTTGCTTCTCCACCCATGAGTATGATTCGTTCACAAGCTTCTCGTCCCAACCTACTTTGTTTATGAATCTGCCAAATCCCACTAATCAATTTCCTTCATTAAACTCTATTTTGTTACTCCAATTTTTATTTATTTAATTGTATTCAAAATTTGGTATCATATGTCTCCCTCGTATTCCTTAATTATAAACACACGATAATTTTCTAGATTAAGGGATAGGTGACTTTCATCCTGGTGGTTAAAAAAAAAACTTTTTAACTTTTCTAAAAATTTTAAATTAGTTTCTAAAATTTTTAATTTTTTTTATACTTTAAAATATTAAAAAAAAATTCAAAAATAGTGTTAGTAATACGTTTAAAAACACATTTATAAACTTTCAAAAAAAAAAAAAAATTATAATTATACAGACTTTTGTGTATTTTTATTTTTAAAAATTAATTTGTTAATCTCAATTAAATTATTTTATAATGTTGGAAGTATATTTAGTGTACATTAATAAAATGGGGTGGTGAGTGGGGTAGGTGAATTTTGTTATTAAATGGACCATCTCTAAATGGGTCCCACTATACCTGCCTTTTAATTTTTTTTTTTTTTTTTTACCAACCTTCAAGTTATTGTTATTATTTTAGAAAATTAGGTAGTTATATTTTCTATTAAAAAGCTTATATAATTATTTTTAGAAAATATTATTCATTGGGTTTCATTTCTTTTTTCTTTTTGTAATTACAATAAATTTAAATTATTTTTGAGAAAAAACAAGAAAATGAAACAAATTAGGAAGAATTTTTTAAACAAAAAAATATAAATTATTTTTAATAAGCTATAGATCCATATAATAATTGTCATATAATTAAGACATAGAAATGAAAATGAATAGTAATGAAAATTAAAAAGAAAGCTTTTTTAGTTCGTTTTTTTTTAATTAATTTATGTGCATAATGGAAGCCTATAAAATTATTTTTTGTGTAAATTTTTTAAAAACAATAAAAATAAAAATAATTTTGAAAAAGGGGAAAAAAAGGGCGCGGAAATTAAACTACCTTGCGCTTGCTCTGGTATAGAAGCCTGCATTAATGGCGGAACCACCACCCAAAATCCTAGCTCTCGAATTGATTACTCCATCCGTCGAAGCGAAGAACTGAGACGCCGAGGTCGGAGAAGTGTCGGCGAGGCCGATGTGGAAGTTTCGAAGGAAAGACACATTCGCATTCGTGAAAGGAACGCCGCCTCTTTCCAGTAGCAGCACGCTGAAGTTCTGTGACAACGTCGCCGCCAATGGACAGCCGGCGGTACCACCGCCGACGATTATATAATCGTAACCTCCCTCTCTCTCATGGCCATCGCGATAGAAAGAGCTAGCGCGCTTGATGAACGGGTATCTCGATTTCACCCAATTTTCTCTACCTGCACTTGTATAGATTTTTCATTTGCTTGTTAGATTTGGGAAGAATAGGTTATTTTGGTGAAGAGAAAGTGCTCAAAACTTTGTGTTTCCGTTTTGTGAGTCGATTAGGGCAAGGAAAATGAGAAAACGGCGATTCTTTCTCTCTAGAACCCTAGAAAATTGAACCCTAACGATCATAGATGCTACTCTGTTTTGAAGATTTTGAGGAGAAACTTTGTAACTGAACAGAATCGAAACAGAACTTTGATTGTTGATATTAGTTACACTAAAATTGAAGATTTGAGGAGAAACATTGTAACAGAACAGATTCGAAACAGAACTTTGATTGTGGATATTAGTCACACTAGAATTGAAGATTTGAGGAGAAACTTTGTAACAGAACAGAATCGAAACAGAACTTTGATTGTTGATATAGTTACACTAAAATTGAAGGTATGAGAGAACCAACCTTGACAAGAAGAGCGAAGAACAACAAGGAAGAGAAAGAGGTTCACAGCCCCAACCAACGCCATTGAATTGCAGAAAAGGAAAATGGAAGCTGCTTCTTCGAAATCAGAGTAGTGGATGATCTCTTAGATTGTGTGTGGATCGCAGATTTAAAGACGAAGAACAGATCCCAAGAAAACACATGAATCTGGTAAAGAGAGAAATTGAAAGAGGAAAAACAAGAGATTTGTAATATAGTTACTGTATATGCTTATTTAATGATGAATTGAATGATACAGTTGGAGCTTTGGATGGATGGGTGTGCTGGTGGATCGTTGGATGAGGTCTTTTGAGGTCTGACCATGGCCGTTCATGGATGCTACTAGAACATCGCTCATTCACCTGTATGGGTACGTATATTTATTGCGTTGGTAGCTTCCAGTTGACATGGCATGGTTTTATTTAAATTTTAATAAATTTTATAATTAATTATTTTTTAACCGTTTTTAAAATATACATTGAAATAAAAGTTTTACATACTTTTATTAAAAAATAAAAATAAATAAATAAAGACATCCAGAGTAATTTGCTGAAATTCAAGCAATAAAAAATCGTTAAATTTCATGAGGATTGGGCTGAATTATTCCTGTTGTTTTTTTTTTAAAATAAAAAAAAATATATCATTTAAATAAACTGAATTATTTTAAAAAATACTGTTTTTATCAAGAACCCCTTTAATTTCTATCATAATGAACACTTTTTTTTTTCTCCTTTAAATGCCTTAATCATCAACCACATCCATCCAACCACCAACACAAATGTTTAACCATCCTTCTTTGCCGTCCTATAGTTTGTACGCCTTGCATATGGATTAATCGGAAGGGTACAAGCTGTAAATCCTGCGTGGGGTGTTGAAGGGTTTGATCCTTTTGTTCCGGGCGGAATAGCCTCTCATTATATTGCAGCAAGTACATTGGACATATTAGCGGGTCTATTCCATCTTAGTGTTCGTCCGCCCCAACGTCTATACAAGGGGCCATCGTGTTTCCACCGTGTAGTAGAAGCAGCACTGCTGGTAATAAACTCCTAACCAAACTGTTTTATGTTTTATGTTTTTTTAAAAAATTGCATTTAAAATAGTTGGGGGTGAGAATTGTGATGGTTGGGAGAGAAGTCCTCCAACCGCTAATGAATTTATAAGGAGAGAATACATTTTCATTGCTATCAAAGACCTTTTCGGAAAATCAAAAGTAAAACCATGAGAGCTTATGCTCAAAGTGGAAAATATCATACAATTGTAGAGAGTCGTGAGTCTGAACATGGTATCAGAGCCCTGCTCTTAACTTAGTCATGTTAATAGAATTCTCGAATGTTGAACAAAAGGTGTATTTTGCGGACCCAGCGCGTTTTAGTAGGGCGATTTCGAAATCAAGCGGTTTTTTCGCACAGTAGCGAAAAAATTATTTCTTGGCATTGGGGTGGGGAATGCCCCCACTCGATGGTTGGGAGCCGAATTTTGCGGAACCGGCACGCTCTCGCTTGCGTTCAAGTAGGGCGGTTTCAAAATCGAGCAATATTTTCGCACGGTAGCGAAAAAATTATTTCTTGGCATTGGGGTGGAGAATGCCCCAACTCGACGGTTGGGAGCCGAATTTTGCGGAAACGTTGCGTTCTCGCTTGCGTTCTATAGGGTTGTTCCGAAACCGAGCAGTTTTTTCACACGGTAGCGAAAAAATTATTTCCTTGGTATTGGGGTGGGGAATGCCTCAACTCGATGGTTGGGAGCCAAATTGTGCGGAACTGGCGTGTTCTCGCTTGCGTTCTAGTAGGGCGGTTCCGAAATTGAGCGGTTTTTTCGTACGGTAACGAAAAAATTATTTCTTGGCATTGGGGTGGGGACTACCTTAACTTGATGGTTGGGTGCCGAATTTTGCGTTACTGGCACGTTCTCGCTTGCGTTCTAGTATGGCGGTTTCGAAACCGAGTAGTTTTTTCGCACGGTAGCGAAAAAATGATTTCTTGGCTTTGTTGGGGTGAGGAATGCCCCAACTCGATGGTTGGGAGTTGAATTTTGCAGAACCGGCGAGTTCTCGCTTGCGTTCTAGTAGGGTGGTTCTGAAATTGAGCGGTTTTTTCGAACGGTAGCGAAAAATGATTTCTTGGCATTGGGGTGGGGACTGCCCCAACTTGATGGTTGGGAGCCGAATTTTGCGTTATGGGCGCGTTCTAGTAGGGTGGTTCTGAAACCGAGCGATTTTTTCGCACGGTAGCGAAAAATATATTTCTTGGCATTTGGATGGGGAATGAGCCAACTCGATGGATGAGAGTAGAATTTTGCGGAGCTGACGCGTTTTAGTAGGACGGTTCTGAAACCGAGTGGTATTTTCGCACGGTAGCGAAAAAATTATTTCTTGGCATTGGGGTGAGGAATGCCCCAACTCGATGGTTGGGAGCTGAATTTTGCGGAATCGGCGCGTTCTCACTTGCGTTCTAGTAGGGCGGTTCCGCAACCGAGCGGTTTTTTCGCATGGTAGCGAAAAAATTATTTCTTGGCATTGGGGTGGGGAATGCCTCAATTCGATGGTTGGGAGCCGAATTTTTCGGAACCGGCACGTTCTCGCTTGCGTTCTAGTAGGGCGGTTCCAAAATTGAGCAATATTTTCGCACGATAGCGAAAAAATTATTTCTTGGCATTGGGGTGGGGACTACCCCAACTTGATGGTTGGGTACCGAATTTTGCATTACCGGTGCGTTCTCGCTTGCGTTCTAGTAGGGCGGTTCCGAAACTGAGTGGTTTTTTCGCGCGGTAGGGAAGAAATTATTTCTTGACAATGGGTGGGGAATGCCCCAACTCGATGGTTGGGAGCCAAATTTTGCACAACCAGCGCGTTCTCGCTTGCGTTTTAGTTGGGCTGTTCCGAGACCGAGTTTCTTTTTTCGCACGGTAGCGAAAAAATTATTTCTTGGCATTAGGTTGAGGAATGCCCCAACTCGATGGTTGGGAGCTGAATTTTCCGGAACCGTCGCGTTCTCTCCTGCGGTATGGAATCAACTCAAGGGAAAGTATGGAACAGATTACCTTGATGATTAAAATCAGTAAAAAAACTCATTTTTAAACTCGTGATTCGAATTACACCACAAGAAGTTTGATCTCTACCACTTGAATGACTCTGACATGCAAGTTCTAAACACAATAATTTTCAAAGAAGATCTTAACTCTCAACAAATCTAAAAAAATAGAAATTATATTCCTTTCTAATTAAAAATGTGATGTCCTTAATCAAATAAAATGAGGATATAGCCTTTACAACCTTAACACACATGGCTCTCGTTAATTTGGTAGTAAATGAGAAATATCCATAAGCTTCATATTAAAATTGATAGTTAATGGTGGAATATGGTAACCTATGTAGGTTACAATATAACCTTAACTTCTATATTAAAAACAAACAAATATTTAAATTATAATTAAACTGTTCAATGAATGAAATGTGTTTATTGGTCATCATTGAACTAATTCCATAAATTTAGCTGAGTTCATTAAATGCAACTTAAAGTGCATTTAATGTATCTTTTTCTTGAAGTTCAACTTTGCACAACATATAATGGAGGTCTCCAACATCTTCTAGAATTTCCTTTGATGAGCCCCCCATAGCTTGAATATAAGTGTACAAGGTTTGTAGTAGCTTCTTGGCTCTCGTTCTTGTAACTGAACCTTGAGGTGTGGAAATTTCTTGGTCGTGGTTCATATCATTCTCCCTCACTTGAGAAGGATTCGTCCTCGAATTTCAGCCATCACCTACATCAAAAGAACTCAAATCAACATTAAAAGTTACACTAACACCATGTAGAGACATGTGAGTGGGGCGTCCTATGCAATGAGTATTGCATAAGATCGGACTATGAAGAAAATTACCCTCACTTTATAATGTCGTTTACTGTTGAGACTGATTTTTTTCATTTGATGACCTAGGTAACTCGATCTTAATCCTGAGCTAACTATGAGCTCTTGTTTATTCAAAATTATCCTTAGATTTGCATGGGTGAGATGGTCCGAGTTCGCCGACTCAATAAGTCTCCCATTTCAGGGGTAAGACTGGGTGAATAGCTGGGGACATAGGGTGTAAGATGAAATTCACTCCTACCCGCTTTTAGGGATAGTAGAGAGGTTGTTCCCTTAAGTACTGACTCCAAGTCTTGAACAAGGGGCCCTGCCTTCTCATTGACCTGAGAGGGATTCGGTTTACTGGTTGAACCACAAACCAATTGTTAATTAGAAGATCAGTGAGACATAAGGAACAATAAGTAACTTCAGGAGTAAAACGGTAAATTGACCCAGTTCTAGTTACAAACAACATGTGAAGGATCGATTTACTAATCATGGTTATATCAAATGGACATAAATATATCTATAGTGAGGGGAGTGCAACTACTAGGCTATAGTTGAGTGTCCTAGTAGTTAACGAATGTTGGTTAACAAGGTTAATGAGTTTAGCCGGTTAATCTCGGATCGTTGGAGCCCATGATCGGTAGGTCCATTAGGTTCTCCTGCTAGTTCATATTAGACTAAACCTTAGAACAGTGTGACGAGTGAGTTCGAAGTGTTCGAATTCAAATTAGAAAATATACGCTAAATATATATGATATATTTAACCGTATTTGGTTTTAATTATAAATTAAACAAAAAGAGAGAATTAGAGATATTTAAATAAGATTAAAATATTTTAATTATGATTAGGGATTCATAATCAATATGGGCTGGAATTGATTGGGATTGACCTTTTATTTAATATTAAATATTAATTTGTTTTATTAATTCTTTAATATTATTTTGATTTGAAATTAATTATTTAAATTAAATGTTGAAGTTGACTTCACTGGAAAAATTCATGTTTTGAGTTATAGGAATATTGAGTGTCATGGTATAACCAAACTTGCATGTTTTCCACATAATCTCACCAATGAGTGAAATTTTGAGTGTCAAAATTTGGTAATCTCAAATTTGCATGAACATGCAAATATGACTCTATAAATAATGGACTAAAGATACATGGAAATCTTCTTGAAAATTTCTTAAGAAAATCCCTTAAAATTCTCTCTTCACATATACTAAATTACTTCCAAGTTTAGTCACTCACCAAATTCTACAATCTCGTTCTAATGCCAGAGAATAGCAGGAAAGACACTAATAGTGATTCAGAACCGGTTCGTGATGAAAAA